CCTCGTCATGGCGTTGGGGGTGCAAAATGGCACTTAAAGTTGAACCCCCTCCCCAGCATGAAGGACATTGAAATGTATTAAAACAATACAAATATTAATGATAACGTTAATATGAACCACAATCCTCGTCGGGGTCTGTTTCAGTTTCCACCTCCAAGTAATAATTTGGATTGTTCTTCAGGTAAATGAATTGACTGGGCATTTATAGGGTATTTTTTAGTTCTAGTTTTTCCTCTGGGTGAGCAAGAAGTTATTTCTGTATTTGCTCGTCATTAACGCCACATAATATTCTATATCCATTAGCTTTACATCGAGAATGTTATTAAATTTGCAATCTTAGGCTAGTGTTCTCAACTGAGCCACGTATTCTGCAACAGGTTCACCGACTTGGCGGTTCTAGTGTTAAATTGGAATCTTGCTATGATCGCGGATTTGGCAGGAGTATAATGCTTTTTCAATAACTCAGTAATGCTAATTACTCGAAATTAGTTTAAACATCGATGGTCCTACCACACTGTTCAATATCGCTCTCTTCCGACTTACGTCGGTTATTTCATTGGGTGCGAAATATTTAAACCTATCTAGGCCTACGTACATGGTTCAATGTTCAGCTTTTTTAGTGAACTCACCGATTGATCCGTAGTTTGTTGCCATTTTGATAATGCTCAACAATCATGTAGATTTGATAAAAATAATATTCAACACAAATCTATTTCAACTTGAGTAACTTAATTGTTAGACACGCACGTGTAGTACTGTATAGTTACCAGCATGGTTTATAATATTAATACTATATAGAGAGTGGACTCTAGATTAGATTATTATCAACACTTATTATAAAACGTTTAATGGTAATGCTATTATTATATCTACATATTTATAACAATAATATTCTCGTTATCTTACGCCAACCATTTGCTAAGTGAAACTACTGTAGGCCAAAAATTAATTGAATTTATTTATTTTATTTTATTTCAACAATCTTTAATGATTAAAAATATAATTATGATAGTTTAATAAATATCTTCGTGCAAACGCCCATATAATGATACCGTAAAAATTATGCTTGGTTTTGTGGCACTAATATATATTCGATTGTATTCTGTTTTGTTGTGTAGACTTCTTGAGATCTCTGAATTAATCTTGTTATTTATAACAAGATTAATTAATGCATTATATTGCCTGTTTCGGTTTTATGATATAGGCCTATTTGTTAAATCATAAGTACTGGATCATTTACATTATTTCCCCTTTCCCTTTTTAAAATGTAACCAAAACATTGCTAAAACGTATGTGAAGCTATGTAAGCATTTTATAGAGAAGGGCCTTTTACATCCCTGATTGCAGGAACTATAGAAAAGTAAAATCTTCACCTGTTTTAGCTTAATTAATGAATCGAGTTAACTTGATAACAGACTGAATCGGCGGCTCGGGTCACATGACTTATAGTGGGCAGTGGCGTATCTAGGGGACTCAAGGCGCGGGGGCCCCAAAACATTACTCATGCCCCTCCCCCCACAAAAAAAATTACGGTCAAGCAGTTAAAAATCACCATATTTATCGTGCCCCTGTCTCTTATACACATCTAGATGTGTATAAGAGACAGGTAGAGGGTAGTGGCAGTGGGTTCTAGATACGCCACTGATAGTGGGTATTAAATTTTGTTTACATCGCGAGACGACAGTGCATTGAATATGGCTTCGAATAGTGAGAATAAAGCCTTGAAGTTTTTCAAGGAAAGGTACGGTACCATACCTTCACGACGTACATATTGCTCCAGTGAGTCGTCGCCGGCTGAGGTTCTTTTTAGGCCTAGGCCTAAGTCAAGAATATTATTCATTTGCAAATGCTATCGCAGCATGGAAAACAAAAAAAAAAACGAATCCCCCATTCGTTGCAAGAGTATAATTTTACAGTTATTTTAAATCAAAAATTAAATCATAGGATGTTTGTAGTTACTGCCGAGGATAATGATCATCATTTGACAACAAATTTAAATATTATTATTACGTACGGTATTAGGGTGTACCATACCATGCCAGGCCTATATTCACCAGACCAGCCTGTATACCTAGACGAAGTTTGATTGAGCAATCAGTACCGTTAAGAGTTATTACCTACTCGACTACAGAGATAGTGTATAGTCGAGGCATAACTCCTTCCCTGCTCCGGGCCCTGGTCAAGGTACGGTACCTTCACGACGTGCATATTGCTCCAGTCAGCGGCTGAGGAACTTTTTACCCAAGTCAAGAATATTATTCATGGCAAATGCTATCGCAGCATGAAAAAACAAAAAAACAAAAACGAATCTCCCCATTCCTTGCAAGAGTATTATTTTACAGTGATTTTAAATCCAAAATTAAATCATAGGATGTTTGTAGTTACTGCCGGGGATAATGATCATCATATGCAACGTGACCACTGCTTGGGTATTTACCCAAGATCTTGGGTATTTTGACTTGGTCTTGTGTTCTTGGGTATTCCGTTCAAATCCTTGGGTATTTCATTTTTACTAAGAAAATTAAAATATTACACCTCAGTTTTCCAACTTTTTATGATAGAAAAACATATTCGAAAATATTTTGAATAACTTTTAACTGAACAACTCATTTTAAAAACGTATGCCAAAAATTTCTCCAGTATTTTTACATTGCCATATTGCATTATAGATGATTGTGTAACCACAATGTTGCTTATAAAAAATGGTTTGTCTTGATGAATAAAGGTGGGATGACCCCCACAAAAGATTAAAAAAAAAAAAAAAATTAAAAATTAAATATGTTTGTCATAAAGGAAGAATTAAAAAGTAACAAAGTATATTTCAGTCCATTCAAGTAAGCAAAACTCAATGAAGTGCACATAACATTGTTAATTGACTGTTAATTGCTGTTGCTACCCGTTTTAAAAATCACGGTAGGAACCTACGTAATAAGGATAATATTACCCAACTTAATTCTAAAACGAAACGTTTCTCTAATAGCCCAATTGCCTATTATATCAAAATTATTAACCAACAGCAAGCTTTAACCGGTAAGATGCCCATTTTTATTATTCAGTTGCTCAAATCAAATCAAATTATTGTCAACTTATTGTTAAATTATTGTTACATTTTTGTTAAATTATTGTATTTTTATATAATCATGAATTTTAAATATTTAAAAATTATAATAATTATTGTAATTCTCTCTTTTGTAAATAACATGCAATTTGGCCTTTGGTCACGATATGTTAATAATTTTATGGGATTTTTTTGAAATAAAGTGATATATAAACATGGGTTCAGAATTGTTTATTTGTGATAGATTTGCGTTGCCATTGATCTTACCAAATTAATGCATTACATAATAAAACTTGGTAACTGATCTACTGATACACCACTGGCTGACTGAGGGCGTATTTTTCTATCCGTATTATCGCCTCATGAAAATTAATTTTAATAATTAACACAAACAATTACAATAAAAAATGGTTTATAGAATGAACTAAAAGGGAAAGTACACATGCGAAAACCACATTTTTTTTTTTCAAATTTTAATGCATTTCCTGGAAGCCTGGGTAATTTGGGGCAATTTTCGTGGAATTTTGGGTAATTTCGACCCAGTCATTGGGTATATCAACAATTGTGAGTGGTTCACATTAATCGCATTAGGATTACCCATACAAATTAGGCCTATTATCACCAGCCTGTTTCACAAGTTTGGTTGAGCAATCACTACCGTTAAGGGTTATTTTCTACGTTATTACCTACAGAGATATGTAGTCGAGGCGTAAGGACTCCCTCCTTGCTCCGGGCCCTGGTCAAGGCTTAACACTCACAGTGCAGCCTAGGCTTAATATGTAGTCTACCGTACACTAACAGCATTCCACCAGAACCTAAATAAAATGCACGGAGATTGCCAAAGTAATTATATATCACTATTTAAAAAGAAACATAGGCCTACTGCCTACTTTACTTTGGGTCGCTGTCTAAAAACTCTTCAATATACTGCGTTCAATGAGCGCACTGTGGTTTACGATGTGTATGTTTTGTACAATCAAGATTTAGATAAATATATATGTTTGAATTTTTGTTTTGCCCTATAAGTTTATTCATTTCATCCTACAGATATTTGGGGTCATGTTTATATATTTAAAAAAAAGGAAGGAAAAATATATAATTGATTCTGTTCCCGAAGATATATAGGCCTATATCTGTCTCTTATACACATCTAGATGTGTATTAAAAACGTCTCTGGTGGGATTCAAACCTGCAACCTCCTGCTGTCAAGGCGAGTATCACATTATTAGACGGCACAGGCCTATAGTGTATTACGCGCAGATCTAACCCCCAAGGACTCTCTCCTTCAACTAGCTGAAATGCTGACACATTCGGAGCTTGGAAATAGTAAATAATATTCAAATTATAGGCTATAATTTCATCAAGGACAGATCAAATACTAAGAGGAATTTAGTAAATTTTGTTATTACGGCTTATGCACTTCAATAAAGATTTAGCTAACCACTTTTTTGTTCTTTTGGAATTAAGTGTAATTAACAATAAATTGCCACAAATTAACATACTGCTCAATAATATAAATTCAATTTGGTTTATGTTTCAATAAATGCTTAAATAGATTACTACATATTTATTAATATAAACAATAGTTTTACTTTAATTACAGGTGTGGGAACCATTTCAGGCAATCCAGGTATGTTTTAATGGTTTTCTCCGACTGGATGAAAGTCAGTTTTCTTTTCTGTTGGGGGAGGAGGAGGGGGGGGGGGAAAGAGGAGGAGAAGGAGGAGGAGAAGGAGAAGAAGGAGAAGGAGAAGAAGGAGAAGGAGAAGAAGGAGAAGGAGAAGGAGGAGGAAGAAGAAGAAGGAATAGGAGGAAGAAGAATAAGAAAGAATAGGAGGAATAAGAGGAAGAGGAGGAATAGGAATAGGAGGAGGAATAGGAAGAGGAATAGGAAGAGGAATAGTAATAATGATGATGATGATGATGATGATGAGGATGATGATGATGATGATGATGATGATGATGATGATGATGATGATACAATGTATTTTCTGACCACAATGTCAAACAAAGAAAATGTTACTTTGTTCAAACAATTATGACTCAGCATTTATATTTTTCGCTAAGACCTGCAAAAGTTGTCTCTTTCTTGTATTACCCCCAGTAAGTATTGTACGAGGATATGTGTTATTAGCTGGAATTAATTCTATTTTTTATATAGCTATGTTTAGTTATGTATATTTGTTTCATTATTCTAGCACTGTTTCTGCCATTTACATTCTTCATTTAGTGCTCCGAAACAATTTTTAATAATATAGGCCTATGTAATATATACATAATTTGATTGATTGATACAAATAAAATTATAAATATATATAATATTGTTTAGCTTTAATTCTAATTGTATGAATCATACTGCATTTTAAGGAAAATAAATATTCAAAAGAAAACATTGAAGGATGACTAATAATACTAAATCATATTATTTCAGTTCTCTCAGATGTGTTTATTATGAGTGATGATACATCGTGGACGGTTGAACTACTGGATGAGATAAACAGACAATCACAATTGATATGCACAAGCGAAGAAAACTGGGTTAGTGGTTATACTAGGGTGTGCAATTTGGTAAGGTCTTTGGCCAGAAGCAAAAAGGCAATCATTGGATTCTCAGAGCAACCTCAGAATGCCATGACAGAGTATGCTACTCACGTTCTTATTCAAAATATGATAAACAATAATGAACTGGATAGAGGCAGGCTACTGCCAGTGAAGATAACAGACGGTGCGGACACGCCACTTATCAGTCGTGGATTTATTGAAGGAAAAGCATCGGATGCAGACTTTATGCCAAGTTTATTGAAAGCTTTAAGTGACTGTGGTGAGTTGTATTATTGGGTTGTGAGTTGGGGTGATTTATAGCAAAGTCCAATAATAGCAAGCACATTACATATATTCTTTAATTAACCTAAATCAGTGTTTAAATGTAAACCTATTGAGTTCGGTTATTGATTCGGTTATTTGTTTTACTATTTGAATTATTTCTATATGTTGAATCGTTGTTGTTATTGGATCTTCTCCAATTGTTTAATGCGATTTGAAATTTAACATTACTATTTTTCATTTTTTCTTTTAGATAATCTTGGAACGCCTTGTCAAGGTACATAATCTTATGTTTTTAGTAATCCTAAACTATAAATTGATAAAGCATTGATATTAATTAAACTATATTAAGATAACTAAGAAACTCGTTTATGTTCGGCAGTTTAATAAAATATTACTATTATTCATAGATGTTTACTATGATTTCCTTTTTTTAAGATCGAATTGAAACATTGAATTACTAATTTATTAGGATTAATTCGTTATAAATTACCAAACCAAACAGTTAAAACTCCATTTTCCCACAAATGTTTAAATTTTTATTACACAATTTAAGGGTTGATACAGAGATTTTTTTTTCAAACTGTTTATTTACCTTTAACAAATAATTTAAATATAGCATAATTATTTTTTATATAGTCTACCAGAAAACACATTCCTAAGCAGTTTTTCCAGATTACACCAAGTGTATTTATTATTAAAACTATTTTAAATCTACTTTATTCATAATAATAAGCCCAGTTAAATTCTTGAACTTTTGTTCTTCTGATATCCGTTATTATCATTATTATTACCAATCTCATTATATTTGTTATTATTATTGTTGCTATCAATATCATTAAGACTATCACCTTTTCTATAATCTCTGTTCTAATATTATTTTACAATGTTAAAAATAGAAAATTAAACTATTAACATTTCTACATTTTTTTCGTGCAAGATAATGCATAACAAGTGGAAGAACAGTGAAATTACAATTGTAATTTTAACAGTTCCCTGGAAAAAATATACACCTTTTAATGCATGATACATAGGTATCAGGGTCTAAGATTTTCTTCTTGCAAAATTATCTCCACCATGAATTACTGTAAATAATAATAAATCCATATGAAATATTTTCCCCACAAATAGCTATTTTCTAATTGCTATAAATCATTTAAAAGTTTTTTTTCTTCATATTAAAAAACACATTTTTGTATTCTTTCTCTTTATTAGTGAAGTTGAAGAAAATGTTATTAGAAGGTGCAGGAACCTCTAGACAACAAGCAAATCTTGAAAAGGAATGCTCTATTGATATTTTTGAGAATACTAAATCTTCAACTGGAAGCGGTCAGTTATTATTTAATTTTCCGTAATGTAGGGCTACAATGAGTGTTTCATATACTGAAAATACAAAGACAATGTCAACTCAAAAAGACACGAAATATATAATTTTAGGTTCCTATTTTAGGATTAGTGTGTGAATGGGCACATGATTTGGTGGAAAATGAGCTATATTTTAAGCAGTTAGAATTAGATGATAATCTATTATATGCGCAAAAGCCACACTACATTAACCTTAACATTACAGACAGTGCTTAAAAATAAACAATTTTACTTAAAATTTAAAAGCAGTAGGCCTAATGAAAGAAGATTTATTGAATATATGTCACTATAAAATAATCATAATTGTTTTGTTAAGGTCATTCTGGTTTAGTCGCACATTATTTCAGTTGGTACTTATTCAAATTTTGTGCCTTTCAGTTGACAAAATCGAAAGAAATGAAATGTGTTTGGCCATGGAAGTTTTGGTGGTTTCCGCTTTGTATGGTTTCACAATGTGTTTAACAAAATTTCAACTTCGTATAGGCCTACTTGGATTAGAAATCGAAACCGGGCGGTGGAATAACAGGCCTATCAGGCAACAGGAACGAACATGCAAAATCTGTAATGAAAATCTTGTTGAAAACGAACACCACTTTTCATTGAATTCAATGTCCAATATACTCAGACCTCAGAAAAATCTACATCCCACCTTTCTAAGATTATCAATCCGCCTATTAGTAAAACTAATGCTCTATCAAAATTTAGTATTTTGTTTTCAAAGAAAGAGAGAATATCTTGTGTGAATAAATCTCCAGTCTAGGGGACAGAAGAAGATGAAGTGCATGTAGAGCATCATGTTTACATGTTCATCTTGCTAAGGGATTACCACATAATTATTATATAAGGCAATGGAGAATATGATATTGGCAAACATAATCTCAGTACCTAATTAATAAATAGGCCTAAGCTAAAATTAATCATAAATAAATGATTTTGCCATAGTCATATATTTTATGTAAGAGAAAATAAAAAAATAACATTGGATGAAATACGAAATACCAGCCAAAAATACCGACTACAAAAAAATTGACACCAAATAGGGCATGAGATCAAAACATTTAGAAGTACAAGTATATTTATAAAATATGAAAAAACTTCACAGAAAGGAAAGTTCTCACTATAATCGTAATAAAATTGAGAAGGATCCACTTACTCGTGGTTCATCTTGTTAGTCAATTATGCAACCGATTTATTTTTGCCCATAATTTGCATATCGAAACCTTTTTGGACGTTGTAGGTTGTTGGAAGTACAGTAATACATGGTACCGGTACCGGTACCGGTAGCGAGCTTTACGTCCATTGTCCATTTCGTTTGTTTATTAAGCCTCAAAAATGGTTCTGGGGCTTCTAAAGAAGGCAATACTTCTATGACTCGGCGAGCCAGAAATCCTAAACATTAGATAGATTCCAAGATGCTTATGAATTAGAACAGATTGAATAGGATCACAATGTAAAAAATAAACAGGCTTAGTAAAACTAGGATTTCTTGTGATATACATAATATTGTTTTCTAAGTTAAGAATTATCAATAGCCTAAATTTAAAGGCTATAAATATCATTCTGTAATAATACAACATCATTGTAACAAAATATAGATCTAAACAAAAGAATATCGTCAGCAAATAAACAACTAGAGGTGATATTAAAATAAGTGTCATTTATGAACACATTTTCCAGCCTGATTACGTTGTATTCTGTTGTTATGTTGCTGGATCTCAAAAGAGATTCTTAAATAATATATAATTTTAATAGGCAAATGGGATAGTCCCATAAAAACCGCAAACGACCACATAATGCACTAAACAATTTAAAATTTAAATGGAACAGTAGAGAAAATCCGGTCAGAAAAAATAAACTAAATATCCACCGGGAAAAAATCTCAATATCTGCAGACGGACGCGTTAAGAATTACAAAATATTCTCTGGAATCGAGTCTTCCTTGAAACAATACCTTTATTTAAACCAGAATATTCCCCCATATGGCATATTTTTTATAACGGTGCATTAGAAGTGGGCTTTTCGACATTCTGGCCCTCTTTGGTCCATTGTGCTTTCTGCCACAGTCAACGTCACCCTGTACCTAAAAGCATAGTCTTCTGGTAAGAGGTCATAGTACCCAAACTTCAGAAATGCCTCTACCCCTGAATGCGAGAATATCAACCACCAAATGTACAATTATTTGCAATGTTACATTAAACATTTATTACAATTATCCATTTTATCAATAGACTTTGATTGCTATGTTGCAAGCTGCGATGGTAAATGGGAAGATGAAGTTTGCACAGAGTTAAAAAAGAAAAACAAAAATCTGAGAGTGATCTGTAGCAAGAAGATTATTCCTAATTGGCCTACTACAAAAAGGAAACGCAAGAAGGTATTAGATGTTAGTAGTAATTTACTAGAACCGGTACACAGCACTAAGACGACGATTGTTGGGTTTAAAGGCAAGAAGGTTAATGGATATTTAAAAGGTATTGCAGAAGCTGTTATTGAAAGACAATTTGAAGAAGGTGATGACTTTGGATGTTTGATACCTGTGAAGATAAAGCGAGATGCTGTCATACCGTCTTGTGTGAAGAAGTTTAGACCTCTTAACGCCTTCGACGACAACTTTCACGAAAATGTTTGGCAAGCTGTAACTGGAATAGGTAGGATAAATTTGTTCTTGTTTTTGATTGTAACTATTATTATAGGCTCATGTGTGGATGAAACCTTATAAGTTTGAGAGTTTTTTTAGGTGCTGTCATGTAATAATAATAGAATTCATCCCATAGTAAGCGAAAATGAACATTATACTGTATTAGAAAACCACAGAGACCTACTAACACTCCTGTTGTACATGTTTTATATGAAGATCTTGATCCAAGCAAATTTATTAACAGCAGTGACATCGTCGGACTCACCTGCCATTATTGGTTTATTTTCTAACACATGTATTTTAGCTTTTATAAATATATGACTTCTGCTAGGTACACTACAATTCATCATCATAATTATTAGAGAACATGTTTTTACGTTTTAAATTCTTACGGAATAGTGTCACCGCGACGTATTTGACCCTTTTGTAAATCCGCCGTGCCAACCCTGGGCCACTGTGCCCAAAATGATGTAGCTTCCACCAAAGATTCTAGAAATACAAGATAGAGCACTCGCATAGTAAAAATGAAGCGGAAATTGGGCCCGACGTAGGCGGCGCCCTTCTTTTCTATAATGCAAGTTTTCTATACTTGGGGCCCTTCTGTTGCTAAGTACAGTATATCCAGATGCACACGGTGCCCTTCTTTTTCCACTAATGGAAGAAAACTTTTTCACTAGAGTGTGTCCGGCCATACGACTCTGCGCTATATTTTTCTTTTATTCTTTACTGATCCATGATTAGGCTTAATTGTTTTGTGTTTTATTTGGATAATAGCAACGATTTCTAGCTCCGCCAAGGAGGATATGTATCCACCGATGTCACTGTTTCTATTCCAGTTTGGTTTTATATCTAGTAAATAAAAAGTGATTGGTAAAAACTAATTATCGGTACGGGACGGTGGTACAGAACTGCAAAATACAGTCATCATTATGAATTCTTGAACGTTATTGATCACTGAACCTACCGATACTATTGGAAGGCCTATTGGCTCAGGATTGCAATGCTTTTCCAACTCATTATTATTGACATTGAATACAGCTCTGATACTCACCGTATAATTTTTTTTAATCACAAAATATAGCAGTTTTAAAACAATGAGCATTAATTCAAAATTTAATATAATTATTTACAACACAAGTTTATGTAATTACTGTAAGTAGGCCTATATAATCAATTTCCTGTTTAAAAAAGTATAAAAAATATATATATTAAGATATAAAAAATAATATGATTCGAGTTTATTATATAACCTGATGATTCGATTTAATATCAATTATTTGTCGAGATAGGAAATTATGTAAATGTATCTCAGTGCTGAGACAATAGTTGTCTGAGTCTGATGTAATGATACGGTACATCCTTTAACGATTTAGCCGAAAATTCCCCTCTCAACATCACCGTTTCTCACAGGTTAGATACCTTAACTAATTTCCTATTCTTTTTTTATGCCCATTTTTGTCAGTTTTTAATGTTCTATTGTAAAATTTAACGGCATAAAACAGCCTCAATTTGACAAACAAATCAATCAATGACATTTCAACACCAAGTCTCCATAAATTTAATTGTCTACCCGATAACTTTAGAGTAGCAATTATCCTACTTACTATTTTATCACAAATATTATTTTAATGTAAGTAATTATTAAAATATTTAACAAAAACATTTTCACTTGCAACAATTATATTGTAAAAATTTTCTGTTGGCACAAACAAGGATCCAAAATCTCCGTTCTTTGTATCGTATGCTTTGAAATGAATGAGCAGATGCGATGGTTCCTGCATACAATATTTCATTTTTTAAAGCCGTTCTACCTTGTTTGTATAATGTGTTGCAATTTATTGCACAGCAACGTCTTCCAATGCCGTACGTCGCCATAGCGCATCGCGGTGTACACTTTTTTAATTGAGAATTGACAATTCAATACGCGACGACTTAGTAACGAAAGTTTGGTAGAAGTTTTTTAGATCCAGCCTTACGGGGCGCCCCATTGTTTGTATTCCCACTATGCATTTCGGTGGAACACTTTTTTTCCGTGGAGAATTCTATCTTGTATTTCTAGTAGGCCTATCTTTGTTTCTACGCACGTGTTTGAATTTACCGTCGCAAACGCGATTGAAACTTACCCGCTATTCTTAAAATGAACTGGTTGTATATTTCAAGCTAAAACTTAAAAATGACATACTTTCATACTCCAACTAAACTACGACTAAATCATGCTAACCTCGACTAAAATAATACCTCAGCAGGCCGATTATGTTAGTCAGCCTAGGGTCAGACTTAATTGTCGACTTGCAATATTATTTACCCCACTGTAAAGTTAATGAAACTCTCAAAGTCTCGGATAACTAGATGCAAGGGTCTCTACTGAAACCTCGTTTTAAAGAATAACAAGGGTGATGAAAAATATTTTGCTTCAAATTATTATAAATCAATAAAGTATATGATAACAAAGAAATAACTTGTTGCTTTTTATCCTTTATTTCTGCGTTTTGTAACAGAAAAAACAATTTTTAATAGCTTATTTTGAGCCAGTTTCGGCTTCAAAGCTCCGCCTACCGAAGTTAACCTAAAGTTGACCTTTAACGGATGTGACGCGCAGTCGGTCCTCTGTTGTTTTGACAGACTCAACGACGTATTGTATAGCATCAGGGAACAGTTAGTAAATTGCAATATTACTCACGTGTTGAAAGCGGGTGTCCCGAAAGCTCAGACCACGAAAGCTAAGACCTAAGACCACGAGATATCAGACCCACTCAAAATATCAGGCCCCGCAAATAAAGACCCTCAACTAAGTATGCCAGGATTTCTAGACAATACCTTTATTCGAAAGCTAACGCCAATATAAAGAACTGACTAATCATAAAATAAACACCATTTGAGTATCATCGATACCAGCTAGGCCCCTATTTGCGATGTTTACTGGAGAAAACTAATACAGCATTCCACGGAACCGTACAGTACGGTTTCGGTACGTTTTCGATAGCGGTTTCTAATGCACATCTATCGTGCGAATACTGTATCCGATATTATGGTTCTCGATCGTTCTCACTCTTTATATTTTTAGGATAGTTTGTTCTTTTTACATTCACCTTACCTTTCTTTACTTGCTTCTTTTTTGTTTTATATTCGGTTTCAAAATATTATATAATAAAAAAGATAAAATTACTAAAAGCATAGAACATGAAACCAGGACTAGTGGCGGATCAAGCGAAGTGGGTGGGGGCATGAGGACCCGTTCCCTCCCCCACCCCCAATTCAGTCAAGCCGAAAATTTTGAGTTAAAGAGAGGAAAAATTGTACCCATGAGTTCAGAATAAGTCCATGGTCTGGCTTTCGGGACACCCTGTTGAAAGCTGGTAAACTATATTTCAATATTGTTTACGCATTGTTTATAACAATGACCTTCGTAATGGTTCGTAGCTACTACCTACGAGTAGATTACGAGAGGTTACGCGCAGATACGAAGCGATAATTCACGCCTGTACTATACTGTAAGTGATAGGCGTACACGTTACGTTCCCACTTTGAAAAAGGTTCCGCCGGCCCTGTATATATACAGCATGTACATGAACCTTTTATATTTTTTTGCGTTTTAAGTTAAGCTTAAAACTTTTAATGAAAAACAGATAAAAGGAAATTTTTTGCCCGTTTCCAAAGAATACATAAAAATCATTTATTTACATGTCCATTTATTGGCATGGAATGTCTTTTTTATTATTCAGAATTTTATAGTGTTATGTATATAAAAATTAGACAATTTAAATACAGAATAGAATTTTTCATTTTTAAGCTCATGACAGACATAATATTTTTAATCTTAAAACGTTTTTCAGTGATATAATCTAGCCTATTATATAAGCTTGTGTACTATATTAGCCATTTTTTGACTTCAAAAATAATTTAAACTTGGAAAGTGTCAGTTAAAATTTATAAGATTATTGTTTTCATCAACAGAATTTGATTGCTATATTGTAAGTTGTGATGATAACTGGGAAAAGAAAGTCTGTGCAGAGTTAAAAAGGAGGAACAACAAATTAAAAGTGAGCTGTAGATATGAGCGTCTTTCTGCAAAATTTCTAAAACAAAAACGAATGAAGACCTTAGGTAATGGTGATGTTTTGGATACTCTATTGCAACCGATACTGGGCACTAAAAAGACAATTATTGGGTTTAATGACAAAGAGGTCAATGGCTACTTAAGACGTGTTGCATTAACTGTATTGGAAAGACAATGTGAATTAGGTGATAATTACGGAGGGTTGATACCTATACGGATAACGAAAGATGCAGACATACCGTTTAGTGTAAATTCGTTAAGTCTTCTCAAAGCGTTCGACGACAACTTTCATGATGAAGTTTGGAAGGCTGTGACTTCAATAAGTAGGTTGTTTTCTTCCATTTAAAGTGATACGTTTTATAATCGTATTAATAAGCATTTACCGTTATTATTTATTCTACACATTCATTCAAACTAGAAATATGTATAGTTGTTTTAATAACACCTTTAAAATTATGCTTACTGATTAAATTAATATATAATATAATTCGAAATATAAATATTTTTTTTATTTTTTATTTTTAAAGGTGTACAAGTGAATGTTAAGTGCATAAATACTTCCTCGAACTTCAAGGAAATTAATGACGTACTACAAACTATTGTGGAGAAATTCCAAAAGATTCATAGCCCGCTTCATGACAAAATATCAAAGTACATAAAAGAGATTGGATTAAAATTCAACGGGATTACATACGGATCAATTATTCTGCACCTATCTACACAAGATCCCGTAGCATTAAGGCGCCTATCAGATTCTAAAGAGCGTGAAACCATTATAAATCGACTTGCACATATCCTACTTCCACCAAAGCTTCAGAAAGAATTTTGTCAAAATTGGTCACTAAATATTGACATGGAAAAATATGATACTGCTCTAATGGAACTGGAAACACACAACAACATCTAATGGAGGGCTGGACAGTCAGAATAATTTTCTGTTCATATTATGTGTCTGTGAGTTGTTCATTACTGACCTTCGGTATTTTGTACCTGTCTGACTGAAGGGTTTCTATAAAACGAAGACCGAAGACCCAAAAACGAAGACCCCTATTTTTTTTATCTTTCATTTTGATGATAATACGCCAGGCTGTCACAAAAGCAAAATTACGAATTTGTTTAGGCGTCTGTTTGTGAAATTGTGAAAATCAAGGGTCTTCGTTTTATAGACACCCTATGGGTGTATATTAAACGAAGACCGAAGTAATCACTAAATATTGACATGGAAAAATATGATGCTGCTCTAATGGAACTGGAAACACATAACAATATCTAGTGGAGGGCTGGACAGTCAGCATATGGGTCTGTGAGTTGTTCATTACTGATCTTCGGTATTTTGTACCTATCTGACTGAACACAATATCAGAATATGAACAGTTTACAATTGGAACTACCAGACCTACTTGAACTCTAAAATCTAGGTCTTATTATGGCCATACCGAAACAACTGTCAACCCACAGCACTGTGGCATTTAAAACACTGCTTTCTTACCGAAGTGTCTGTTGCTAATCTAAGAATTGAAATCATAACAGAGCCAGTAACTGATAATGATTTTTTTTTTCAGAAAAAACTGCTCCTTTTATGCTGAGTAGTCATCCTCTCTAATCTTCAATATATCCAATATGTCAGTTTTCAATATCCTTCTGGCAATCGTTTTATTTATATTTATAAATTACTCTTTTTTATATATTGTAAGTTTAATATCTTTATTATAACCAATAATATTTTTATTTTATTGTCTACTGCGTCCCAGCGGGTAGTAAACACTTTACTGTCGTCTGGTACAGTAAGTGACCTTGTAAGAATAAATCAGGTGGAGGAATAATGGGATTGGTTCTGAGTTAAAGATAAAAATGAAAGCAAGTCTACGAAATATGATGCCATGCTAGATAATATCTGTCCTAGTTACAGCTACTTTAGCAGTACGTGTATATTTGTTACTTGATTTTATATTAGAAATTCTACAATCAATACATATATTAAAACCTAATGAAATTACTTCTGAAGACCTAAAAGTCAGACACAGACGAGGATTGATTAAACATGTAAGAAAGTAGGAGAAGATTGAACATTTCGCACCACACAAACCATCGAGTGTTTACACTACGATGCAAACAAGAGGGGTACCACTTAGCTTGAAGTTAAAATGTCCTGTTAAATCCACATGGGTAAAGAAATAATCAAAAAGGCAGAAAAACGGCTTATTCACGAAAGAATGAGAATCACTTCCAATACTAAAGGCCTATAGCTCTACCTTCACGAAGTAAATACAGTAGAACCCCTAAAGTGTCCCCGTAATAGGGGTTTGTTAGTATGTTTTCGTATAACAATGACATACAATCTTTAATTTTATTTTTATTAACATAAGAATTTATTGACATAGAATTAGAATTAATTTATAGCAATAATTTGTAATGCAAAATATATATAGTATGAAATCAGTGGAAATGTTTTTTAAAGAACAATAGTTTTATATGTTACCAATATTGTTACCTCCACCAAGGAGGTTATGTATTCACTGTTGTCTGTCCGTCGTTTGGTCTGTCTTTCTGTCTGTTAGCAGGATTAAGCAAAAAATCATCATCATGAAAATTAGTGGAATGGTACATAATAATCAAAGAAATACACGGGGGGTGGGGAAGTGGCACAACCTACTCAGAATAGGTAAGTGAGTAGCGCTAATTTCAATATGCATTGAACTGTATAAATTTAGTGGCCAAACGTGGGCATGTGCCCCCCTGCCCCTACTAAATCCGTCTCTGAGGTCACAGAAATTCGATTTTTTACTCTCAAGCATAAGAGGAAATAATGGAATTACCCCTCGAATTGAGGCAGCACTCAAGAATGTGCCTGAATACGGTAGGCGATTGCATTATCTTTTTATGGGTAGACTGCAGTTTCGCCCTTATACACAGCCTGCGTATTGTAGTAATGTACTGTATTCAGTACAGGGCGGAGATATGCACTCTATGGAGTGACTGCTCTAGTTTCATGATACAATGCTATTGACCAAATATTCTTTTTGTTGATATTGAACTTTTTTATTGGATGGATTCTACACTTAGAATAGTGTAACATGTTATAGTATGGATTAGAATCGTATGTGGGCTGTTTCACAATCAGGGAACATTTTTCAAAATCACACTATTTGACCCTGCTGCCTGTTTATTAAAAAAGCCTCAGGATTTCTTTCTATTCCTAAATATAACACACCCATAGCCCTTCGTAACCCAGTATAAAAATAGTTGTACTGGTTCTTTAATTTTTTTTATAAACTACAATGTTCATTTTTTTTTACATTTCAGTGTTTCACTCTAAAATAACACATTTTAACTTCCTAAATTTAAATACTAAACCCATATAAAATCTACCAACAATTGGCTTTTTTAAAACTACTTTAGTGCACCTAAGATACAAAAAAAAATTATTCAATAAATTATTTTGGCAAAAAAATTATAAAAAAATTAAAATATTGTCAAAAAAACTCTTAAAATGTCCTCTCCTTTACATGATATTTTTAACATCATTAAAATATAATTCAAGAAGTTATCCAGAGCAAGCAGAATGGCTTAAAAGATTGCTGTATATCATCTAATTAAAAGCAATAAAAATTATGAACTTATAATTTGGTGTACTCAATTGGTACAGTGGTAACCAGTGCCATGCATTGGCGTAAAAAAAAATGTGTCCTCTCCTTTACAGCATTTTCTTAAGTGGTACCTCTTGTCCTAGTAAACATTTTCTTTATATATGTTTCCTGTAGTACAAAATAAACCACTGCTAAACATAAATAAAAAATTAAAGAAGTTTAATTTTTTTAATTTTCTGATGTCATTAATCTGATGTCCTCTCCTTTACATAAAAAAGGGCTAATAAAACAGTTAAATAAAAATATAAAAGAAGTAGTACTGTTAAGGATTTCTTATTTTTTTAATGAGCATCACTAGAATATGTGAAAAAAGTTAAAAATAACAACATTTTACAGTGAAATTTTAAAATATTTACCTCGATTTACGACCAGCATACTGAAATGCTCTATATTGACAAAATATTTTGAGAAGCTTTTATGTATCAATATATATATTTAAGGGTAACAAAAAAAAAGCAATACTTTTTGATAAAACAGGCTTAAAATTAGTGCAACACATATGTTCATTTTCTTTATTTTCTTTATATATGTTTCATGATATGTACAAAATAAACCACTGCTAAACATAAATAAAAAATTAATTAAATTAAATAAAACAGGCTTAAAATTAGTGCAACACATATGTTCATTTTCTTTGGTATAATGATGCCAGAGAGATGAATAGGAGAGGACATAATTTTTTGACAACTCACAAAACAACTTACAAATATGAATAAAAAATGGGCTAAAAATAATTTTAAATATAGCATTTACCATTTACACTGCTGATAGAATATCAAAAAATGAGGGCAGTGTTTTGAGGATATTTCCCGCACGATTAAAATCGTAACAGTACTGGGTTTGGTCTACAAGAGTTCGTGTTTCGTACAGGTCATTCCCTTCATGGAAAAAGCCTTTATATTGGAGAACGCGTACCTGTCGTTAGCCATAGTAGCATAGGTCAATACTAACTCCGGCTATATAAAATTGATTATAAGATTGAAAATATTAATCTTATTATTGTGATACTATGTACACGTTTTTATTTATTGTTATTTATTCATTAACGTTATTATATTTTCATTTAAATTTAGTGTATTGTTTTAAGTATGAATTACTATGTCCATGTTAAATTAATCTTATCTATTAAAATTGTATATTATTATTATTATTAAAATAATATAGTTATAGGCATAGCCGAGGTCTAGGCTAGGTCTAAACAATTGACTATATATGTGAGTGTAAAACATTATGAAAAATATGAATAAAATGCAAAAGTTGTGAAAGAATAAAGGAAGAAGGAAGAATAGGAAAGAGATATTTGGAGCGGCTGAAATATTTTCCAAAAATATACAATAGTAGTCAATATGCTATTATTGCATTACGTTTTTGTAAACAATTTTGGGCACTAATCATCAGAGGTCTCGGTGTCACAGCCTACACTTTTCATAATTCGAAATCGAATTGGACCTTAAGTGATTTCCAAAATCTCTTTTATATGAAATAAAGAATAATTAATGTTTAGAAAACAAAACTAAAACAAATGTCTTAGCTTGAAGTACTGTACGTATAAATGTAAAATATCATCGTATGAACATAATCATGTCTAGTGCATCGCTGTATGTGTATGTGGTTCTGTTGTTTGTTCTGCTATGATGATGAACGTTCTTTTCTGTCCGTATGAAAAATTAGCGCGTGTAGATAACGCGTGTAATTTTGTTCTGTATTTTTACGCATTGTTCTGTATGTACGCATCAAAAATAGGCCTACATCAATTTCTAATGTATACAAATAATTTCGTTTTTTAATCACTTATTTAATAATTCATTATCTAAATTACTTGATAAATTAATTATTAATATTAGATTCTATTTATGTGTACATAGTAGATGGTATATAATAGTAAGAAATAAGACAGTGTCTAAATGGGAAAGTGGCTATTTTTAAGTGATTCCTGTTCTTCCCTGAATGTAAAAATGTCAAATATATTGTCCTCTCCTGTACACTTTCTCACTATATAAACATATTTTAAAATGTACATTAAAAGAAAATATCAAGTCTTATGTTCTAAAATTGATAGGGTCCAAATTTGTTCCTGTAATTAATATTTAATGTTTTGAAGTAGAAGTAGATATTCAGATTAATTAGCTTGAATGTCTACATACATGAAATTATTCAAATTTAGAAGTAAGACATTGAAATATATAATGAATTTTATCAGTACTATAGATAAAATTGAAAGTTATAATTCAGGAATATGGAGTAAATGCCAGAAGAAGCATATGTCCTAAAAAATGTCCTCTCCTGTACAGAGTGTGTAAAGGAAAGGACAGATTATATGACATGCATTATCTTCAAAATGCAAAATGCAACTATATCAAATTTTCGGATGATGTATAATATGTACTCAAGCATTCCTATAATATAATTTGGTG